ATTTTTTACATTTGTTTGATCTCTTGAAAAAAAAAGTACAATCCCCCTCTGCCCTTCGTTGACCCGTCCTCCAGTGACCTGTGGGTTATGATAACATGAAGACACTATTTTTGACTGTGATGGTTGCTTTTTGTGATTTTCTCTTAACATCAGTTTATAGTGTATTGTATGTGAATGGTATTTCAAGTCGAAGGTTCTCGATTGTCTTTCTTAATCACACTATTACTACCTCGTCTTCGCAGGCCCCTATATCTTACTGGGCTGTCATATCCATAGATCCATCATTTCCCACCCTCTCCTTACAAAACACCTCAAGCTTTTTTTTTCAATCTCTTAGCAGTGATCCCTCTTCCTTTCCTCACTCGCACCATATCTCCCCGACCGCGCTTCCTCCCTCGCCGTCTCTCCGCCTCCCCGCGCGCGCACCGCTGCGTCTTTTAATTGATCCGTGGGCGCTTTTGCTCGGGATGCTGCGGGCGAGGCCGCACGCGGGCGGGACGGGGCGGGGCGGGGCGGGTGGCTCGAAGACAAGGCGCGGGCACGCCGAAATGAACCGCCTCTGCCGCCCACGTCGCCGGTCGATGGGGGACGCGCGGAAGAGAGGATCCGCGGTGACTTCCGCCACGTATTGACTCCCAAGGGGGCCCTGCCGCACGTTACTGACGCGCCAATAGCCTCCACGGACTGCCCGCCTCCGTGCCCCAGGTGCTGCGAAATATCCGAAGTGGATGTACTGTGCGGGTTAACAGTGTAGTTTCTACAAATGTGAATGATTATGATTTTTAAGCTAGGCAAAGTAAAAAGTGCGCTTTAATATATACTGCAGTCATCTAAAAAAATGAGTTGTGGGCTCTGTTGAAAATATAACATTTCTCTAAAAGACTTGTCCCATCAACCTTCAAAGGTCCTTGTCAATCGAAAAGAGCTTGCGTGAACCGGAAAACAAATAATTTCAATTTCCTTCGATTTATTTATTCTTAAATGTAAAAAAAAAAGTATTTTAACAGCTTTTAAGAGCTAGTTGAGGTATTGCTATTGAGTTGATTGTGGTTGAGAATGCTGATTGAGATGCTATATCGTGAGGTGTACAACAGTAAGCTGACAAAACCTCTAGAGCCGTTGGATTGGGAGAAAATCTCTCCGCCTAGGAAGCCGGTGCAAAGCAAACCGCAGACATGCAACGTTCCGCGCAGGCGCAGTCATGCAGTCGCCTTCCCGGTCATTTGCGCTCGGGAATGGACGTAAATAAGAAGACGGGGGGTCGTAAATTCGGCAAGGTTTCTCGTACATCGTTGTATCTGAACTTAAAGAAGAAGAATGATACCTACAGGGAGGTGCGAGAGAGAGAGAGAGAGAGATGTCGCAGGTACTGCGACCGCGGCAAAGGTGCATCACCCTCTACTCCTTTGTCTTTCCTTCTCCCTCCGCTTCTGTCTCTTGAATCCCGTCCCTCTCTGTTCCCCGAGACTCTCCGTCTGGCACTCTTCCTCTCCGCCCCGCTCCGCCTTTCTCCACTCCACTCCCCCCGCTCCGCCTCCCTCCGCAGCACTTCCGTCCAGCGACTCCTGTCCACCAGGTGGGCGACGCTGTCCTCCCCCGCTGCTCTTCGGGCTCCCGCGGGGCAGCGGCGGCTGCTCCACTCCCGGATTATTTATATAAATTCCCGTCGCCTCTGCCGCCGCCCCGGCGCTGCGGTCGCGCGCGTTAATTATGCAACCTCCGCCCCCGCCCCCTCAGCCCCGCCCCTTCGCCAGAAGAAAGCACTCCCCCGCTACGGCCCTCCGCGCCTTCCCGCAGGCGGCGCTGGCGTTAGTTCCGTGTGACGTACTGGAGGATTCGCGGCGCCATGTTTAATTCGCCGCCATTCTTCAACGTCTCCGGCAATTCGCTTTTCTTCCTCTCTCGCTTTCCGCCTCTCTGTCTGCCGTCTTGTGTGCCTCGCCGGCCCGCAGTCTGTCTCCTCCCTCGCGCCCTTTGGCTTGCGCTGACCGCGGTCGCCAGAGGGCGGCGACGGCGGCGGCGGTGACTGCAGGGGCGGCGCGTCGCTTGGACGACGCGTCGGGGGCGGGGTGAGGACGCGTCGGCGACGCGAAAGCAGAAGCGGAGGCGGCGGGGGAGGGGGGGGCGAGAGTGGGGCGCGACGGCAGTGTCTTTATTGCGGAAAGCCTTCGTCTCTGTCCGCGCTGTTAATTCGATATTTCCGGAGAGGCGGAGCGCAAGATAGCATCATCACATGCTCGAGCAGGCCACCAGAGCGGGGTCGCCGACGCTGCTGCCGGACGCAGTGTCCTTCCCTCTTGCGCGCCTCCCCCCTCGCTCCCCTACCACCGGTCGTCGTCCTCCTCGCCTCCCGCCCCAGCCCGCTCCAGCCCGCCCCGCGCGCACCCTCGCGTCCGGCGCCGCCGCCGCCGCCGCCGCCGCCTCGCGCTCATCTCTTCGCTAGCCCATTCGTTCGCTGTTTTTCCCGCTCCGTTGGCTTTTCAGAAACGGCTGCGTTATTTTGTAGCAGTCGCACGGAAAGGGCTGGTCGCCTGCCTCTGTTTATTTTAACTCCTTGTGAGAGCGGCGCTGGAAGCCCCCGTGACGATAGCGCGGAGACGGCGGCGGCGGCAGCGTCTGCTCGTCTTTTGTGAAGCTTTCCGTTGCGTTTGCCCCAAGCGTCGTTCGAAGTGAAATGCTCCTCAAAGGCGTAGTCTTTTTTTGAGATCTGGACGTTTCGCTTTCGGCTGCATTGACACACCTTTCATATATTCGTTATCGGTCGAAGGTCTTCTTGTGACAAATATCAGCAGCGTAACTGATGTTTTGTGTCCACTGCTCTTCATTTACTCAAATTTCCCGCCCCCTTTTAAATATTTTTTTTATTCCCGCCCCTTTATATCTTTTTTCTGCCCCTTTTATACATTTCGCAATTCTTCTACAATCTATTTAGTTTTACTCTCATTTCTTTGCCAGAATTTTCAGTATTTTTGTGTAAATAATAGTTTTTTTTAATATTTTTTTTACTTAAATGTTATCAATTGTCTGTTCTGTTGTTGTTCTTCGTTCATTTTAAGTTCTCCAAATAATCCTGTCGTTCTGAGAATTACATTTTTAAAATTTCCTTTTCTACATCTTTCAAATAATTCTTCAAATCAAAAAATCTGCATTTCTACACTAAATCTTTTTGATGATTTATATTTCATCATTCTGTAAGTGCAATTAAAACAAATTGAAATCCTCAAAATATTAATGATTCTTGAAATTTATTGAAATAAATATGAATTTGGTTGAAGGAAGAAATTTACAAACTAATAAAGAAAGGAAATACAATATTTCTACCTAATTGAACACTTTATTTTGCATACTTTGCGTTTATGCTATGGTTGTTCAAGTTGATATTTTTTCCAATAGACATGAACATCTACTTTTGCTAGAATACTATAAAAAATTGGGTTTTACTTGTATTTTCAAGAGGGTGCAAGAATACCATTATTTTTTCTCAAATGTTTTTTCTTCACCCAACAAGTGTTGTGTAATGAGAGTACCCATTGTAGACAATGCATGTTCAGATTGTAAAATTTAACTTAACATTGAGTGTCCCAAGTTGATCATTGTCATTCAAATGACGGTTTTATAATTAAAGTAATTTTGTTTTGCAGGTCGGAATGAGCTGATAGCAAGATACATCAAACTGAGAACAGGAAAAACAAGAACCCGGAAACAAGTCAGTTCACACATCCAGGTGTTGGCTAGAAGGAAATTACGAGAGATTCAAGCTAAATTGAAAGTGGTAAGCTTCCTGAAACTTAACTTTGTATTTCCTTAAATGAGACTTCAAGCATAGTTCTTTAGAGATATTTCACATATCACATTTGATTTTGTATTGAAAGAACATTTTGTACGTTTTAAATGTAGCGATTTAAATTTATTTTTAAAAGCTAATCTCTTGCAGTGTTTTAAAGATTTCATATTGAGCATTATATTAAACTTAATTTTAATAATAGAACTATGTAACTATCTTTTCAACTTAGAAATATGCAGTTTAACTGTTACTTATACATTCTGTCACTTCTTTTTTAAATAATTAACTTGAATGAACATAAATCTGAGGAAGGGAAGTGACTGAATGTGTTCTTTACTTGAGAAGGGTTGCTATGTTGACATGGAGCAGTCTCCCACACAGGACCATGCAGCAAAGGAGAAGGCACTGCAGACCATGTCCAGCATGTCAAGTGCACAGATAGTGTCAGCTACAGCTATCCACAACAAAGCAGCTGCTGCTGGATTAGCAAGCTTGGGCCTTGCTTCTCCAGTGTCCTACCCAGGAGCGGTAAGACATTTTATGTTGCTCTCAAGGCTTGTTCTTTCTTGCTCAGGATCCAAAGTCTTTCCTTTCCCATTCTATCATCTTTCCCAGTTTAGACCTAAGGGCAGGATTTAGTCAGTGATTAATTTGAGTGCCCCTGAAAGTGGTTGGATCTACTCTTCTGTTGTTTCATTACTAGTGAACAACTTACCATAATATTTACCACATTCTTGCTATTAAGTCATAATTTTGAGTATGTTAAAGAAGTCTTGCATTGACTACTTTCTTGAAGGTCTGTTAATCAATTTTTTTATTTTGTTTCAAACTAGACAATAAAATTCGTGTATTATGATCTAGTATAACCTAAAAAGACACCAAATAGCCATTCTTTGGGCAGTACATTCAATCCTTGTGGTAAAATTATTTTAGAATTTGCTTTCTTCATGAATTAAGAATTTAATGATTAATATCTTTTATTGAAAGTAACTTATGAAGTTCATAGCTTATTAGTGAATTTGATATATGTTACTTTTACTCTTGATTCTTCTACCATCAGATAATATTAATTAATATGAGAATGCTCTTCAAACATTTTTGAAATTTCATTTATTCCTGTCTGATGTAGCTTGTAATACATTTTGAAAAAACAAATGTTTTTCACAGAGCCGCATTCATGAATATGAAATTACATGTTTCTTTTGTTTTTTTTCAGTTTTGGCAACCTGGTTTACAGCCTGGGACTTCTCAAGAGTAAGTATAAAAGCAAAACATATCACAAATAAGGAGTTGGATGGAAGAACATCTTAACCCCCAAAACGTGTTTTGAGAAAAATGAGTTTAAAGTTTTCACAAATGATTTGACCTCTTACTTCAATAGAATGTAGTACATTTACTTTGTTAATTTCATTGGAAACGCATTTCAACCACTAGATTTTAAGAAAGTATATCTCTAATGTAAATATAACTTTATAAGTAAGAGATGCGTTAAGCTGTTCTTCCTAGAATTTCATTCTTTCCACATTTTGATTTAAGGTGTTGATTCAGAGTCAAATTTTAAACTTGTAATACAAGGTACATGTTTAGGATAGAATTAGAAATTAAAAAATAAAATAAATATAGTATTCTTCATGAACATTTTATATAAGAAAATTATACTGAAAGTGGATTAAAAAAGTTCAAGTAAAGTTTCTTCCTTAAAACTCATTATCATTTATTTTAGTATTACAATTGTCACTACATTTTAGCAACAAATGTGATACAAATTTCAGATTTGAAGTTGTCTTTTCATAGTTTCACATTTTAAAGAACTCTGTTGTAATGTTGCAGTGTCAAGCCATTTTCACAACCACCATATGCTGGGAAACCAGCAACAGCAGTGTCATCTAGTGATATGAGCTTGCAGGCTCCTCCTCCACCACCATGGGAAGGCCGTGCCATTGCCACACATATGCTTAGACTTGTGGAGTTCTCTGCCTTTATGGAACAGCAGAGAGATGCTGACACTGTAAGTAGGAGTCGAAGGAAGATTAAGTTGAAAGTTTCAAAATCATTACACTTTGTGTAACTCATTTTAATACAGTAGATTCTTTTTCTTTCACAAAATATTGTCTTTATAATGTATCAGGGATTTAGTTTTCATATGCATGGTGTTGTGAATTAGAGTTCAATTTTCTTCAATAGCAAGAAGTTGGAATCTTTGCTTAGAACCTGCTTTATACCAAGTGCTGTAGGCATGGAGTGTTATGTTTAATGGTGTTGAAATATGTGTATTTAAATGTATATATTTTACCATTTACAACACTATTACAAAGTTAAAAAACTATTGAAGTTATAAGCAGAATACTTTGCACATCATTTCTTGTATCGGGATTGTAATGCATCATGTTGCTTGTAATGAGAACTGATACATATGGTCAACTAACTCTTTATTTTCTCTTTCTTGCAGTATCACAAACACTTATTTGTCCATATAGGGGGCTCTGCCACTTACTCTGACCCTCTATTAGAGGTGAGTAGTATTAAAAGTTAATCTTTTTCTATTTATTTTAAGACATACATAATTCTAAAACTCAAAATATTATAGTGGATTAATATGTATATTTTTTAAGAAATACCAACATTTAATTTTTTTCAGGCTGTTGATGTTCGGCAGATATATGATAAATTCCCTGAAAAGAAAGGTGGTTTAAAGGAACTGTATGATAAAGGACCTCAAAATGCTTTCTTCCTTGTGAAATTCTGGGCAGATCTGAACACCAACATACAGGATGAAGCAGGTGCATTTTATGGGGTCACCAGTCAGTAAGTGTTTCTTTTTGGTTATACTATTGGTTGAAGTATAATAGTACCTCTTTATGAACTCTGAGAAAAAAGTTTGTATGTCTTCCGTATAGACATTACCATGTTTTTTTTTCCAAATATTTCTACAGGTATGAGAGCAATGAAAACATGACCATCACGTGTTCTACAAAGGTGTGTTCATTTGGCAAACAAGTGGTTGAGAAGGTTGAAACAGAATATGCCAGGTTTGAAAATGGTCGTTTTGTGTATCGCATCCACCGCTCTCCCATGTGTGAATATATGATCAACTTTATTCATAAGCTCAAACATCTACCAGAAAAGTATATGATGAACAGTGTCCTGGAAAATTTCACAATATTGCAGGTTTGTAAATTTATTTTGCACAGTGTTATACATCAATTTTGTTTCAATTAATGTAGTGTGAAACTTAGTCATTTTTTTTCACTGTTTGCAAAGTATTTCCTCTATTTCTTTATTAGAGATATCATTCTTGTTCCTTTGTTAATTTAATTTTACTTTAACATTATTTTATTTGTACATGCTAGTCAATTTACTGGTTTATTTATTTTGGCTTTTAATTATTGTCTGTATTCCTGTCAAACAAAAGTACTTCTAATATAAAGAGTTTAATGGGATGTGATTCATCAATTTTGAAGGCTATTTATTTCTCTAAAATATTAAATAAATTTGGGTGTTCATATGTTCAGTATCTCGTGTGTTAAATTTTCTTTATTTTCTTTCCCAGAAAATAATTTTCTTGCCTTGAATAAACTTCTTTTATGAATGTGCCCAATATAGCAAAAATTACTCTCCAGTATTATTGATTAAATTCCTACCTTACAACTTCAAAATTTAAATAATAAAGTAAACCATTGTGAATACATAATTTGTGGTTAATCTCTGTTAATGATGCATTTTTTTATGCAGGTGGTAACCAACCGAGAAACCCAAGAAACACTGCTGTGCACTGCTTATGTGTTTGAAGTGTCAACATCTGAACATGGTGCTCAGCATCACATCTACAGGCTGGTGAAGGATTAACATCTCCTTGAAGATCTTTTTGAACATTTTCCAACAGTGCCTACAACCGCTGACAATTGTACATTATATGTTACAGCTAGTATTATTTTTATTATACTCGAAAACAACTGTCCCTTGTGGGTGAGTGCAACGCATAATGGAGCTTGTGTGGCAACAGGCCTTGGGATGCCAGTTGATCAGTTGTGAAGGTCTGGAAGCAAACCATTCATTATTTGGTGGATCCCAAGTGTAGAGTAGCCTGCTCCATGTTATCAGTCATTCTCTTGAGAATTACAAATATGGATATGCCATTTTGAAGATCTTATGACAATAGGTTGAAATTGGGGATGTCAGTCAGTATGGTTTTTCCATTTTTCTTTTGTTTGGGTCAAATTGCTTTAATGCACATGGGGTAACACCTATGTATTTTGCTATAGGGACAAAGAGTATTTATTGATAAATGCGAAGAAAATACTGTTGATTTATGTGAAATCTTATATGTAAATAATTTCTTTCATAATGCTAGGAATTTTCACAAACAATTTGGCAGCTTTCAAAGGAGTTTTTGTCTTGTGAATGAAACATAATATGAAGAGTTACTAATGATATTATTACAAAATAAAATATTTTTATTTATTTGTGTAAATACTTATTGCCCAGACATAGCTCCATAAACCAAAGATGGTTTTATAGGGATTGGTGTAATAAGGAAGAGTTAATGATACAACAAAACTAAAGTATGGATAAACAGTAACCAAGCAAGACATCAATGTATACAGGTTTCTTATTAATAGTTTGCTGCTTCCAATTGTGCAAACCATATGTAATAGTGTTTTTTATGTGTTGATAAAGTTAGATTGCTGTAGCCAACTGATACTGTGAAACATTGCCAACATACAGTTCTATAGCATTGTGTATCAAAGTGTTGTAAGAATGCAGATGCTATTTCATCTCGTGCTTTGTAATTCTGTTCACTGCTACAGTACCTTTTTTTTCTTATTCTGATACATAATACAGCATGTAATCAATCATATCTGTTAGCAAAGTGGGCCTTTTGTGCATATTCCCAGCAAGAACCCTCTGTAGATAATGAGCATCCTGTGGTGGAATTGATGGGTTAAGGCGGCCCACAAATTCAATTAGCTCCCTTTCTACAGACTTATTGTCCAGCCTTTGTATAGATTATGAACTAATTTTTGATGAGGCTAAAGCCCTCAAGAAATGATACTGTTAGGGATGCCTCTCTTGAAGATGTGAATTGTCCATCAGCACTTCATTAATTGTGTGATGAATTTCACAACAAGCAATTGTGGTAAAAGAGAATTGAATATTGTCTCATTCAGAATAATATTGATCTTTTCCTGAAACTGGTTTTTTTGGAAGGGTCAAAGAGTTGCATACCATAAGAGGCACCTGATCTCATATGGAATAAAAAAAGCTTCTTGGAATGAATGGGATATTGGAAAAAGAGATGTAAACTTTTCTCTCTCTTCCTTGTACAGTTAGATAGTTAAACAAGTTTGAAAGTACTATAGCTGTATGGTGTATATTTTTTGTATTAACATCTAAATTTTTCTACTGACATTGTTATGAAATGATTGACATCCCTAGTTAAAGTAAATACTTTCCCTCATCAATTTGGCATCCCTTGCATTAAAAGAATCCACATCTTCAGGATAACATGGGAGGGGGGGTACAAAAGTTAATATAAATAAATGAATATATTATATATAAACTGGGTGTAGAAAATATAAACAAACAGCAATTTTTTGATCTCTCTTTTAGTCAAACCATATTTTCAGGGTGAGAAAAAATGTAGTATTTTGCAGTTTGGCAGCTGAGAGTCTTTACTTAAAAATTGAGCCAAATGATTTTTTTATATGAAAGAAAGTTTAATGTTTCAAGATGTGCTTGTTATGGAAATGCAGCATCACTATATATATAATATATATTATTAAATATAATATCATATTATATATATAAAATAATAATAATATATATTTATCATGTCTTCTGTGAAGATATACAGCACTTTCTCACTAACTCACTCTTCATTAAGCAAGCAGCATCAAAACATTTGTCAGGTCTCGGAATGCCAGACGCAATCATTGTTTGTGTGTCTATACATTATATACTTATATGTTCATACAGACAGTGATTATGGCATTGGCTTGTCGGTTTGTGTATATCAACTGTATGAACCCATTGTGCCAAGCGCAGGACAAATACCAACAAACAAAATGATTTATGTGCTAAAATATTTGTGAAAGTATGTTATAAATACATTTTAGATTGATATCATTATACAAGAATTGTTGGCCATATCTTGACTGCCATATCATGGTATAGATTGTTTGTTTGTACTTAAAATGCCTGGAATTTCTACAAAACTATTGTACAGTATTTGAAAACTTATGTTGTACAAGATGTGTAACAATTTTTAATTGCTGCAGTCATGCACTTCAATAAGTGCCTTTCTGTACTCTTTGACTGAGTCATATCTCATAATTGTGCTTTATATGCAAAAAATTTGTTTTTGAAACAATCATTGGTCAAAGTGTCATGTATACTTAATTTAATAAGTAATTTGTTTTATGAAATTTTTGGCCAACATTCTAAATCAGCATCTTGTATACTTCATAGGGATTGCTCTTGGTCATATTTTGTGTATGCCGAAATAACAAAGAGTTTGTAAATTTTTTTATTCGGAAATAAGTGAGAAACTTCTTCATCTATTCCCCATGTGCATGACAAATAATTGTGTACTGCAAGCTTTAGCAGACAGTAACAGTATCAGTGCCATTCCATCTGAGGGTGACATTGAGCTTTTACACAACTTTTGACCTTCAGTGGTTTTAATTACTATAAATGAATTTGTATTTTTTATTGATGGATATTTTTGTGTGTTTTAATATAGTAATTCCACGTAAACTTTCATTTTTTAATAGACACTTGACCAACATTGGATACAAATACAATAATAGTTTTCATACAGGAACCTACCCATTTAGAGACCAGCAGAATATTTTCCATTATGTTATTATAATTGTGATAGAATTTCTTAATCCTATATTTCATTTTTGTTACTCTAAGTGTGAATGTAAAATATTCATATTTTTTAGTGTTTTATGAGTATATTGAAGACTCAGAGAGCCGTTTATTGTCCTACAATTTTAGTTCTAGCAAGTAGTGTGTTTTGAACACATTTTTGTACAAAGCCAATTCTTTTTATTTTCTAAGTTGCCATATCTAAATGTCATTTTTTACTGAATTTACTAAATCCTAATTGAGCTTTTGTAGTGCACAAACAATTATTTTATACTGATCATGAAGATTGTTTCATCTTTCAAGGGTTAGAGCTTAGTTATGTATATAAAACATGTACAACTCTAGTGCAAATTGGCATTTACTTTGAGTAGAAAGCTTCAATAACTGTAAGGAAAGAGTATTTCATGAGGTTGCAGGCAATTTCTTGTCAAGCAGTGTAATTTTTTTCTCGTTGTGGAAAGGCTTCAAATGTTCAAAAGAAATGACTTGTCTACCAGTTTCAAGTATGTTAATGCTTAAACCTCATAAAATGTCTTTCCTATTTCTCTGTTTCCACAATTAGGTTGTGTTATATCGTGATATATCTTTTGTTACATAGGTTTTTTTTACAATCTTGCTGCAGCTTTTCATTTGGTTTGGGTTTTCATTCCTTTAGCTTGTAGGTAAAAGTTATTTTTGAAGCACATCAGTGATGTGCCACTTTTGTCTTGTTCCCCACCTGTATGTGGCAGCAAAACTAGAAAATGAAAGAAAAAAGAGTGAAAAGGAATAAAACGGACACTTTTGTACAGTTAAACTGTAATATATTTGTGATTTATATTTTCCTGTATTTATACAATTCCATTTACTCCATTTCCTTGTTCATGTTATTAAATCCAATTGTTCAGTATCTAGCACAGTTTCTTTCATTGATTGAAACTGAAATTTCATGCTTTTACATTATAACATAACAATCATGGCAACATTTTTATGAAATATAAATATTCTAATCATCCTGCTGTTTAAAATAATAGTAAATAAAAAGAGAATCTAATAGCTTTTGCAAATGAAAATTGAATTTCTTATTTCAATTTTTTCTAATCTCTTTGCCTGACTGTTGTGTTTAGTTTCTAAAAATGTTCCTTTATAAATGTTTCTTTAATTTTAAAATAAAATACATGATGAAACAATTAAATTACTTCTGAAAATTCTGCTCAATTTGAATTCATTTTTTCTTAAAGGTTAATAAATGTTTCAATTAGAATAACAACATGTAAAAGAATAATGGATAAGTTATCTGAGAAAGTCTTCACATTTATTGGACAGCTCACAAATGGCACTGTGAACTTTAGTTAATTGATTTTGTTTTAATTGCTCACCAATAAGTAATGAAAATTGAATGTGACATATAAGCAGGGGTGCATCGAATGAGTGGGGAGGGGGGGGGTGTTGGGATTTCAGCTCCCTGCCCCCCAGAAGCTGATTATACATATCCAAATATATTGCTTATATATACTGACTGACTTTCTAATGAAAGTAAGTCAATATATTAATTGTTTACAATAAGTCAACAAATAAAAAGAAAAAGCTCTCTAAGAAAACATCAAGTTGCCTGGACACTCTACCTGTAAATGTACCACAAAACCTCACCATCCCACTGAGAAAAATTCTGCGTGCACCTCTGTGTACAAGTATGAGTTATTAAGAAAAAAGAGACCTTTACTTCACTTATACTATTCTCACAGACGTTTAACTGTAATGAATCGAAAGTTTGATACAGGTAGGCATTATGACAAAAATAATTTAGTACCTATTAAGAAATGTGAAATGTTGATTTTTCATAAGTTCTTGAGAGATTAATGGCCCAGTTAAATATGTATCTCCTCTTCCTTTTTTATAATATACATTTAAAACATACACTGTTGATAAAATTATTGGCATCACAGGTTTAAAGTATAAATGTACAATATTGCAAAAATCATTATTTATAGGTTACTCACAAATTGATTAAAATTCACATGTATCTCAGATTGCTTGTATGGTATAGAGTACTAGATTGCAGCTTATTTGTGTTTCCACAACTTTTAGTCCCTTCCCTCATTCATACTTGCTGCAGCTTTTAATCCTCTACCCCATTCGAACTTTTCATTTGGCAAACAGTCAAAATTTGCTCTAGAGATTTCAGCATGAATACCTCTGACCCGAGACCCTCTATGACGAAATGTTGTACACATATGTTATACACATGTTATAATTCGTAATTTTAACAACAATGTAAGTTTTGATTGTCTAAAACAAGAAAGGAGAGGGAAGAATATTATACAGGAGGGCAGCTGGGGCAACTTCTCCCTGGCAATAACTTCATTGAGACCCGTAACTTTTTATTCAAAAGAAGTGAAAATGTATGACTCCTAATTCAAATTAACTGCTATAAGCTTCTGTTGCTTGTAGAAATGAGTTCTGATTGTGCATTAGGGAGGGGGCAGAACTTTTGTTGGAAATAAGAAACCCTGTTGATCTACTGCCCATGCCTCCCATTTTCTCTGGGCACTTCTGTACGTATAAATTCAAACTATCAGTTGAATTATTCCTTCATCAACCAAACAGTTATATCTTCATAATGTCACACATTCTTCTACAGACATTATTCTTGCCAATTTGTACATACTTACTTCACAGATGATCATGATCAAGTATAAGGATATTTTGAATAGAAATAACAAAACTAAAACATAGAATATAGTGAAAAAATAATTAAACTGATTAGAGCATTTGTAGAAAATATTGTAAACAATAAGAATTAGTGAGGGGAAAAAATAACTCATATTTTACAATAATTTTCTTTCTTCTTCTTGAAAATTATTATTATTACAACAAATAATAATTTTCAATATGCAAAATTTTAAATTCAACAATAAATTGCGCAAAAAACTGATGCATCTCAAAATCTGCCATGATGCAATATAATACAATTCAAACGCACGAGTCTCATGAGTTTTTTTTCTCTGTAGGATTCTCTGTGCTGTAATCTGTCATTATAATATTTACATTCACGTCAAGAATGTGTACAACACACAAAATAGAAATTCATCTATTGGTATCTTGATTCTATGGTGTAGAATCGCATTCATTATGACCAGAGTTGGGCAAAATACTAGAAAAAAATATTTCAGATACAAAATTCAAAATACTTTGTCGAAAGAACTTTAGATACTAAATACAAAATACTTCCATAAAAGCATTTTAAATACAAAATAGTATTTTAAAATACTTTTGAAAATACAAAATACAACCAATAGTGATCCAGTTTCACAATTTATTTTCCGAAACTGGGTTTTGGTTTGCAATTGTGTACAATTGGACATATTTCCCTTCAACACTTCACAATACTAGTTTTTCAAACATTGTATTACTAATGTTTCTTCTTATAATTGTAATTGATAAGGGTCTCATTTCAATAAGATAGAATTGTGTAACAAGATCAACAAATTTTGCTTGATAGTTACCATTTTCTTGAGCATAGAAAAAACCAGAATTCAAACTTGTTTGTTGTTTTAACTTCTTGGCATTAGTATCACTACTCTCAGTGCTGTTCATTTTCCTCCTATGCGAATTTGATCTTCTGGACCACTGGTTTTTATAGTTCACAAATTTGCTTATCACACCAAGAGGAATTCTCTAAAATGTGTAAAGAAATTATCAGTTCCCTAGTAAAAAGAATGACCAGAGAAACTCATACTTCCATTGAACACCATTGTGTGCATTTTAAAATGTATAATATTACTGCTTATTATTTTTAATTTTAAGTGTCAAAATTGGTTGTCACATTGCAGGAACCACTAATTATTGTCTGATAGGCAGTCTTACAAATTTCACATTACACTTTCACTTTTTGATTAGATTTATTATTAATTCTGCAATGAAATATGATAACTTAGTGGCAGAATATCATACCTTTACATGAATTAAGCTTACATTAACTAATAATAAATTACAAGAGAGTAGTTAAAAACAAAACAATACTTAATAATAAATAGTACATAATTTCACCATACAAGTCATACTTCGCTTTACTTCATTTCACTGCACTTCATTATATAAATAATAATTAAATACTAATAACAATAATAATAATAATAATAATAATAATAATAATAATAATAATAATAACAATAATAATAATATTAACGTACAACTCCACCTCGGGAGTACATTACCTTTTTACGTTAGTGATACGGCATGCCTTGCTGGACAGGTCGATGGGGAGGGGTCAGATGAAGAAGTACTTCAGAAGAGGACCTCAACAACAACAGTGGAAGAAGACCTACATAAGAGGCAGTCTACAGAAGACATGAAGTTGACCTCGAAGCGACCCCTTTCTCCTCAAGGGTTGATAAGGGTACTCCTTTGAATACTCCCATGAGCCTGAGAGCCAAGTCAATGGTAACCTAGCTACTGGTAGAGCCTCCCTTGCTGAAGAGGTGAAGGTGAGGGTCAGACAATGAAGTATTCCAGAGGAGAGTGGGTAGTAAGTAGAGAGGGAAGGATCATGAACCTCTGGACTTCCCATCGAGGGTACAGGGGAGAAACTGGGTTGGCACACCGGCGTTAGTGTGGAGGCCCGAACCTTGCATTAGTGAGCGAAGAAGGCTGCCTTCAGCAGATAGTGAATCTCCCGTAGGGTTTAGTAATCGGAGGGACTCCTTGTTGGGTCCTGCAGGGGGATGTCCCGAGACCCCTGTGGGTCGCAGTAACGGATGATAGTAAATAACCTATGGGTTAAGTATGATCTGTGACCTCCAACTTGCTTCCTACGAATTTTCACTTAAAACTAATGAGCAAAATTGATAGAACAAGAAATGTAATGAATCTTAACGTGCCTTCTTCTACCAATGTTCCATACCAGCTTAGAAACCAAGCTAATGCCACCTTGTCGACGTCTGGCTATTCCTCGGATGTTAGTCCCAGGGACCTAGAGTCGGCAGTAGCCCGAAGCCATTGTCAGATGTGGACACGGGATGAATTGAAGGAGGTGATATGGTACTTTTACTATGCAAAAGCGAAAAATGGGGGCTCAGAATTAGAAGTTTTCAAGGAATGCAGAGCGCGTAATCCAGATATAAGATTTACCCTAGATTCAAAGAAGCTTGCCAGTCAACGACGATACATATTCAGCAGTGGGAAATTCACAGCAGAACAACTTGCTGACATTCAAAGAAATACGGAGTATGTAGTTCGATCGAACTACTCACATGACGAACACGTAGAACTTGAAAACAATGGTCCTGTTGAAGATTCATCTCAAAACGGTCAGTGGTTATAATACATCTGACAATGAATAACGAGATATCACATAATGGGAAATGTTCTTCAACGCGAGATGGAGAGTTCGCCAACTTCCATTTGAATCTCGGCACCGTTTAGGAGAATATCAAAGCTAAGAGAGTGATAGAGACAGTGAACTGTCTTAAATGAGGTGGTACAGACCCCACATAGAGATCTAGATATAACTGAATCAATCGCATTGTGTATGCAACTGGATATCTGATAGCTCAGATAATTTTAGGGTTAGCCAAGAACAACCACAGCCGACAGCAAAACAGAGTAAACAGCCCTGTACCACCATGGACGAAAAAGATCATGAAACGGATAGCCGACACTCGGCGTGAAATATCACTCTTAATTTTGGCATTTTCTAAATCAAAGCACACCTCTAAAGTTCAATGAAAAATATTCAATGTTGAACAAAAATACCAAATTGAAAATGACACAAGCAAGTTAATGGTAGCTGAGAAGATAAAAGAGGAAATCCAAGCCTGGGCTCAACGAATTAGACGTTACAAACGTAGAATAGATTTCTGTGAGTAGAATAGATTGTTTGAAACAGACGAAAAGAAATTCTATCACAATATGACTCAGAAACCGAATGGCAATGCTGTCACAACTTTAAGAGATGACGTCGAAGCATTTTAGGCAGGTATCTGAGGGGAAAGCAGATTCTACA